CTCTCCATACATACATACATACATACATACATACATACATACATACATACATACATACATTAGTTTCAATTCATTTGCTATTGTAACATATATTTGCTGTGAATATTATTTGCTTCCTCATGTATACATTTGTGAAGTGAGTTAAAGTCATACATCAAGTCATACATCAAGAAAAATTGTTCCTAAGGAAAATATTGATCGATACTACTTGAGTCATCTGTTTCTTCAAAATGTCCAAATGGAAACATTTCAAGAAGTTGGAGCACATGAAATTTACCAGTTGGGACATCCATTCTTTTCAGCTGCCCTTATCCTCTTTCTATAAGAATTCACTGGTTTGCTCTTTCTGTCTTCCATATGCTTTTCTCATATTTTTGACCCCTTTCCACATTTCCAAATAGGAAACATACTAGTCAGGTTTAATGTGATTATAGAGACACAAAAATGCTGATTTCTCTCCCCTGCCCCAAGCAAAATACAAAAGTGATTTGCTACATTCTTCCTCAATTATTTTTTGTTTCTTTCTTTTCAGGTTTTCAGCTTTGGGACTATTGGGTTTTTAAATTTGTGTTCCCCCACCCCAATGCTAAATAGATGCAATGTGTGATGCTTTTTAAGATTAGCTAAGTAAAGCTAGAAAGTGGCATATGCTTTGATAAATTGGAGGGGGAAAACTCAAATATTAAATGACTTCTCTCCATGCCCCCCCCCCCCTGGAGAAAACCTAAATGGATACCTTTCATAAAGGCAAATGTGATAAGTTTAAAAAAAATGTTACATTCTCAGCTTTGAATCCTATATTATTACTCTTAATTCTTTTTAACATATACCTGGTATGGAATTTAACCAGAAGGAGAAGGAGAAGGGGAAGGACAAAGACAAGGACAAAGATAAGGATACTCTACTTAGTTTTTCCTGTAATGTTATTTTAAGAAAGGTTTTCCATTAGCTATCTCAACATTCTTGTCATGAATGTGACGGGCTAAATGTGAAAAGACAACAAAATGGTTTATTGTGAAGAACTGGCTTCTTCATATATAAACACAGAGAAAAGACATTTTACTTGGAATGTTGTTCCGTAGCTCTTTATTTATCAACAAATGACAAAATATGGGTTTTTATATAATTTGTAATAAATCTAAAATTGCCCATAAAACATGTAGAATTGGTCAATAAATTCTTTTCTCTGCAAGTCTATCCCCATGAATCAAATTATAATTGAAATTGACTAGAAAAGGTAACAAGATAGCAGAAAAAACTAAATAATACCTGTGTGATGAATATATATAAATATTCTCTAATAATGTTTTCAGGGACATCATGGTGAGGTATAAAACTGATGGCACTTCTGAACAGAATTCATTATACAAGTGAAACTCAAAAAAATTAGAATATCATGCAAATATCATTTATTTCAGTAATGCAACTTAAAAAAAATGAAAGTAATATATGAGATAGACTCATTACATGGAAAGCAAGATAGTTCAAGCCGTGATTTGTCATAATTGTGATGATTATGGCTTACAGCTCATGAAAACCCCAAATCCACAATCTCAGAAAATTAGAATATTACATGCAATCAATAAAACAAGGATTGTACATAGAACAATATCGGACCTCTGAAAAGTATAAGCATGCATATGTACTCAGTACTTGGTTTGGGCCCCTTTTGCAGCAATTACTGCCTCAATGTAGTGTGGCATGGAAGCTATCAGCCTGTGGCACTGTGGAAGTGTTATGTAATTAAAATATTTCCTATGATGGTGACCAAAAAATGATCAAGAACAAGAAAAGAAAGAAATCCTGTATGTGTGGGTTATTGGAGAGTCCCAATAGAATAAACATTGTTATTACAGTTTGATTTATATCTATTTTATCAATTGCAGGGAATCACAAATTACCAAGTAAGTATTAGTGCTGAGAGGATGGGCAACTTCTAAATGTTTTAGTGCAGTAAAGAAAGAATAGAATTAGTCTCAACATTCTATGTTGAATTCATGTTTACCAAGAAAGAAATAAAGGGAGATTAGTATAGATCTATTTCAAGGTACTTAGCTCTCATCAGCTAGCCATACCAAACTGGGATTCAATCCTAGGCTACTTACATACTTTAAAGTTAAAGGTTCCCCTCACACATATGTCCTAGTTATTCCCGACTCTAGGGGGCAGTGCTCATCTTCATTTCAAAGCCAAAGAGCCAGCTGGTCATGTGGCTGGCATAACTAAATGGTAAAGTTGCATGAAACACTGTTACCTTCCCACCAAAGGTGGCCCCTATTTTTCTACTTACATTTTTGTGTGCTTTTGAACTGCTAGGTTGGCAGAAGCTGGGACAAGTAAAGGGAACTTACTCCGTTAGGCAGTGCTAGGGATTCAAACCGCTGAGCTGCCGATTCTCTCTTCGATAAGCTCAGCATCTTAGCCACTGAGTCATCATGTCCCTTTCATGTTAGTTAGATATATTAACTTGAATATTAAGTAGATATATTAACTTCTAAAAATTATACCTCCAACATACATTTGAGAAATCTTTATTCAACCAATACAATTTATCAGATGTTAAGCACGAATGATTTTATATATAAGCAACCTGTCAACCTGTATTTCAATGTAAATTTTAAACCATTCATCCCCATATTTTCCCATTACTCAAGCATTATATGCTATCCAAAATTCGCTGCCGACTGAATCATACACAGTTAACATATTTATTTTTCAAATTCAATTTCAACAAAATTTTATGATCCTTAGCAATAATATATTAATCATTAGTACATCATAACAATTTTTTTTACAAATTCAAACCCATCATTTTTCTTGTTTAAATTATATTTTTCCTTAGGCAAACCAATGGCAAGGACGTCCTTCTGATTCCAGTTCTTCTTTTAATTTGAGATTAAGCTCATCTTCGCTAAAATGCATTATCTCATTATACATCCATCCGTCTAGTCTCACTGTCATTTCTTTTTAAAAAAAATACTTTCTTAATTGGGTCTGTTTTATCATATGAGAAGGAATATCACTTTGTTGGTTCATAACATATCCTTTAAAATCCACAAAGTCACTTCATTTGAACCAAATTACATGGTTTACGGCTAGAAATCCAGTAAAACAACAGAATAAATTAAAAATGGAAGAATGAAGAATATGTATAGCATTTTATTTAAATCTGAATCATTAAAATGTTCAGGTATATCTCTTCAGCTTTCCATCTTATCTTCAAAAACTTTAAATGGCAACAATAACAAAAGTTACACTGTTCATTGAATCACTTTTAATCATCACCTTTAAATATACATTCACAAATATCAGGTATACTTTTAACTTTCGATACAAAATGATGGTTTTCAATGTTAAAAAATCATATCATAATATGGTGCAGAATATATTGCATTTTTATTTACTTTAAATATGCAGCAGTTTGTATAAACACACTAGCACCTGCTTATGAATAAATATTTTGAATAACATTTAAAATATATGCTATAGCATAAATATATTTTGAGATATATGCGTTTTTAAATGATATTTTATTAGGAATATATGCTTTAATAGCATTTTTCACTGATAAATAAAATGCATGTGTACACACACACACACACACAAACACACACACACAAATGCCTACCTTGTTTTGATTGGATCATTGCACATTAATTCAACAATACAATACTGGGAGACTATACCTTGTAAAGGTAAAGATTATTCCTGTCCAATTGTGTTTTACTCTACAGGGCAGTGCTAATCTCGATTTCCTAGCAGCGGGAGCCAGTTTTATTCAAGGATGCTTCTGTGGTGATGTGGCTAGGATGACTATATACTGAAGTTCATGGAATGCTGTTAACTTCCAAGTGAAGTGGTACCTATTTATTTATTTGCATTTGAATGCTTTAGAATTATTAGATTGTCAGGGGATGGACACTCATTCTATCACTTGGGTCTCAAATTGTTGATCTTCCAGTCAACAAGCCCAGTTTCTTAACTATCAGGCCAATGCATTCTGACCTGCTATAATATTAATCTTTTTTTTTCTTACTCAGTGGTGGATTTGCATAAATATTAACAGCTTTGCATATTGCTGCAAGTTCATGGATTAGGCCTACATTTTCCAAACATTTTAAATAGAACAGATCTGATCTCTTTGTTCTTCAGGCTGTATATAATTGGGTTTAACATTGGAGTTAAAATCCTATACTGAATAGAGATCACTTTGTCTAGTTCTACAAGTGATTCTGAACTGGGCTTCATATAGCGAATCAAACCAGAACTGTAAAATAAACCCAGAACAATGAGATGGGAGCTGCATGTGGAAAAAGCTTTCTGCCTGCCTCTTGCTGATTTAATTTTCAGGATTGTTAAAATGATGTAAATATAAGAGACCAGTGTTGTAAGAAATGAACTGAAACCAAACAGCAACACAGATATAAAAAGAATAATGTAATTAGTAAAGGTGTTTGCACATGACAAGGCCAAAAGTGTAGGAAGTTCACAAGCATAGTGTCTGATTATATTGTTGCCACAAAAACGAAGATTTTGCAATGGTACTACATTCACCATAGAATAAAAGGAACCCAAGAGCCAAGCTACACCCACAATTTTATTACATATCTCTCTTGTCAAATATCTGCTGTAATGCAGGGGGTCGCATATAGCTACATATCGGTCATAACCCATTGCTGCGAGGATACATACTTCTGCACAAGCAATTTGGAAAAAGAAAGAAATCTGTGCAATGCATCCTTCCCAGGAAATTGTTTTCTGCTTCACTAGAAAGTTTGCCAGCATCTTGGGAACAGTGACTGAAGAATAGCAGATGTCAACAAAAGCTAAATGGCTGATAAAGAAGAACATGGGGGCCTGAAGATGAAGATCAGACTTGATAAGCAGTATAATAACCATATTGCCCAAAATTGTGAATAAATAAATGATCATGAACAAGAGAAGAACAACATTCTGTACCAGTGGATCATTGGAGAGACCCAACAGAATAAAATAAAATCTGTTATCATAGATTGATTTTTTAGATCAGATGTTTTAAGAATCATAGGATCTATGAGAAAAGAAAGGAAAAAATTATGAACCTTCAAACATTGTTGAAATAATGTTGAAAATTAAATGAAAATGTATTATGCTGACTGAATTTAAAGGTTGCTCTTTCAATTTCATGATGAGCTTAGATATTTTCATTACATTTTAATTCATTAATTATTCCAAAATATAGTTTTTCTTAATTTTATTTGGACATCAATGTGTGCATTTATGGTGTGATGTGCTCCAATTTTACCGCATAGAAATAAAGGCTATTACACATGAATAAGACATTGTATTTGAAATAAAGTCCTCTTTATCTGCTAGAAAGGCATTGTCTAAAAAAATAGTCATAAGGAAAAGATAACTATAAATAACTACATATTTCAAATGTTCATAATGCACAGATTTTCAGACCTTCAAACCTAAAATGTTAAATTATAGTTCTAGCAATATTTTGGCAGGACTGGCTCGTTTCCCTTCCTTTCCCTTCCTTTCCCTTCCTTTCCCTTCCTTTCCCTTCCTTTCCCTTCCTTTCCCTTCCTTTCCCTTTCCTTCCTTCTGACCCAAGTGACAACTGGTAACTATTAATCCTGCTAATATTTTCTTTACCTTAATTCATATGTCACCAAATGACATATGAAGGTGGCTACTGTGAAAAATTGGAAAAAGCAGCTTGAACATTTTGGAAAATATCTAAATAGGTGTGATATATACATTATTGTTTCTTTTAAAAGTGGAAGAATGTCCATTGCTTTTGATAAGATTACTCTTTTATTCTGTAAGTACTGTTGATTCAGCCCTCTATTTTCACTCTGAAGATTTGCTTATACAAAATTTATTGACATGTAACTCAAGCAAAAAAATGTACTGAAACCTAAGAATGGACAGAATTAGCCCTGCTAATCCCATGAAACATAGTTGTCAGCAATAATGATCTATATGTAGCCCAATTGAAGTATTGCAATTCAAATTAGATTTGATTAAAGGAGTATTTTAGTTTTAATTTCCATTTGTTTTTCAATCATTTTATTAGTAATTTTGCTGAGTGTTGCACTAAAATGTGAAAAAGACTCAACCTGTAAGACCCAACCACTTTCTTCTTCTATACACCAGTATCCACACTAGACATGCATTTACCTTGCAGGAAGTAGTTCTTTTGCAACAGAGAAATACTCTGTATCTTTGCCTCCTTGTCTAAATGCCTGGGAGCTTTTCTTGGAACAAGATAATAAAAAAGACATGAGGTCATCCAATATTCCTTCTGGAATTCAGGGCACATGAAACCAATTGGGAATATATTGCTCACAAATTAAAATATATAAACAGTAGCTATGTTAAAAATATTTTGCTTTGCTTTTCCAATCTTTTATTTCATATAAAGTAACAGTATAACACAGTGACTTTACTGTAATAGTAATGCTGAAATCATTACATTTGTTGATGCCTTCAAAAAGAAACACCAACTATCAATAGTTTTTTTGGCTTTACTCCTCAATCCACAATGTCTTTAGAAAATCATGTATAAATAAAATCCTTTTTATAGTTTTAGTTAATGTTTAGTTTAGTTTAGTTTTGTTGGTTAAAGAAGGGAGACAATTGTAGAGAAGATAGAGACACAAATAATTTAAGCTTTTTCACATTTATTCAAATCATATCCAAATTTTCAAAAGAAATCAAATATTTTCTAATTTAATTCTTTTTGCAACAAATCTGTGGGATGAATCAGTGTTACTATCTTGAGTATGATTGAAAGGATGAATGAATATGTTAAATACAAAAATATTTATTTGTTTATTTACATTTAAATTCATTAATCATTTGTTTAGATAGGTGGCTTAGAAAAATTCATATCAATCATACATGAATATTGTTTTTGCATAAGTAGTTTTTTTAATAACAAGTTTTAAGTTTTCTAAAATCAACAAAATGGCATGCTAAATTGTCACTCACCTACACCTCACTCAAACACTAGAAGAACTTGCCAATTTAAAAACTAAAGAAATAGGTAGACTAGTTGGCGTTGCAGCAGGATGGTTATAGGATAGTGGAGTTCCATGAGCACCACAAAACTTAGCCAATATCTATTTGCCAGAAGACCCTATAGGGCCAAAGTCACCCTGAAGAAACTAGGAAAAAGAAAGAGAGAAAGGAAGGAAGGAAGGATGGAAGGAAGGAAGGAAGGGATGGAAGTGGGAGAAAGAAAGAAAAAGAAAAGAGAGAGAGATAAGAAAAAAGAAAGAAAAAAAGAAGGAAGGAAAGAAAGCAAAGGAAAGAAAGAAAGAAAGAAAAGGAAAAGAAAGAAAGAGGAAGGAAGGGAGAAAGAGACAAAAAAGAAAGAAAGAGACAAAGAAAGAAAGAAAGAAAGAAAGAAAGAAAGAAAGAAAGAAAGAAAGAAAGAGGAAGAAAGGGGAAGGAAGGGGAAGGAAGGGGAGAGAGGGAGAGACAGACAGAGAGAGAGAGAATGAGAAGGGAATGAAGGACCACAAACTCAGCCCTAGATATGACTTCAGAAGACATTTTGAAACAGCACAGCAATCCAGGGCTGGAAGGGATCTTGTAGGTAATCTAGTCCAACCCTTGCTCCAGCAGGGGATCTTTACCGAATCATAGAAAAGCAGGGTTAGAAGGGACCTTGGAGGCCATCTACTCCAACTCCCTGCTCCAGCAGGAGATTGTTATATCATCTGGATTATTTTCGTGCCTCTAACAGAGAGGAAAATTGCCAGAAAGGCAAAGGAGTTTACTAGGACAAAGCTGCCATGCAGAGAAAGGCAGTGATAGTCCTTGACATAGGACCACAAGTAGTCATTGGTTGCTAAGCAAGAGTGTTGTTAAATAAGTTTCATCACACTTTACTCAATCCATGATATCTCCTGGCTCTAACAGTCATGTCCAAGCTAGGGAAGAGCATCCGAAGGTGTATATAATGTTCTAATGTACAGAAGTTATAGTTAAATGTGTGGCAGAAAGTATGTTTTCCAAAATGCAGTAAGTGAGGTTGAATGTATATAGTTTTATAAGATCGATCTCTCTCTCTCCCTCTCTCTCTCTCTCTCTCTCTCTCTCTCTCTCTCCCTTCCCCTCTCTCTATGTATGTGTGTGTGTATGTGTATACATACGTGCAGTATATATAGTAGATAATGTATCTTTTTGACTGTCTATACACGCTCTATACTATGTAATATGTATGTACACATATGGCATATATAAATAGGATTAAATAGTATATTTTGGATGTTCAGTAGTAATAAATAAATAGACTGGGAAATTGTATCTCATTGAGGGCTTTGATACGAGGACAGGACAGGCACCCCTTGACATAAGTGATGTCAAGTTGGCCATGCCCACCCAGTCCTATGACCAATCAGCCATGGCCACCTTTAGATCTTCAAATTGTGAACCCATGGCCAGTGTAAGGGAGTCAATCCATCTAACTGCTGGTTGTCCTCATTAATTCTTTCCTTCCAAGTTTTACAGAATTATAATCTTCCCTAGAGAGCTATATTGTTGCATGAAGTGTCTGAAGAAGGATAGTTTGAGACTGAAATATCCTTACATTGGAAGAAGATTCCATTTCGGATGTGAGATGCTTTGGGGAAGAGAGTGCCAGTACCTTTCATTCCTACTGTATTATTAAACCCTTTGGTAGTGAGCTCCCATATTTATAGCTATATGAATATAACATAAATAGTTGTGGATTATGTTTTCCAAACATTTTCACCAGGATATGCTTGATGTCTTTATTGTTCAGACTATATATGATTGAGTTTTAAAAGACAATAAACATATTGTATTGAATGGAGACCATTTGCTCAGATTAATGAGAAACTCTGAATTTGGCTTCATAGCACAAAATAAAGCTGTCACATAAACTTTCCATAATAATAGTTTTATTTATCAACAAATGAGAAAGAGTATCCTTTTATAGTATTTGTAATAAATGTATAATTGCCCACAAAACACAGAAATGGCCAGATAATCCTTGGGTCTGCAAGTCTGTCCATAGGAACAAAATGATATGGATTTTGTATAGAAAGGTTATGAAGCAGCAGCAACTGAAAAATAGCAATGAGATGAACATAGGTAATGTTCATAGCTAAGAGAGTTTTCAGTGTCAATCACAGGGAGATATAAATGGATGGGTTTTGTAGATAGAATGCATTATACATACATATGTACAGGTATAAAATTAAAGATACCAATTTCCAGAGAAGTATGCTGATTGCATTATAGAGCGGAGTATACAGCATCTTCTGTTTGTTTGCTCTTGCAACTTGGTTATTACATAACTACATAAAATCTACTCAGAAATTCATATTGTTCTGGAAAATGTGTTTACATTACATACATCAAGCTCAAATAGATATAGAAGAGATGTATACTGTGGGCAAAAAACAAATTAAAAATATTACATATATTAGTGAATATTTTCATTCAGATTCTTTAAGAAAAATTAGATGAAAATTAGAGCAAGATTACTTTTCTTCTTTTATATTAGACCACACTATTATAGCAGAGCTCAAGAAGAAGTTCTGATACTCTCATATTATATCATAACTCCCAATGCAGAGGACACATGGTAAGTTGCAACCCTCACTCCTGCTGAGTTACAGGTAGTCCTCAATTTATGACCACAACTGAGT